TCCAACGGATTTGTCAGTCTTTCCCTGCCTTGCTATTTTAACCAGGAAACACAACCACTGATGGATTGCAGTGTGATTGCAGTTCTGACTGTGGTGACATTAGAGAAGAGAAATAAGAGAAATAGCAGAGTTCAACTTGCGCTATCACAAATATCAGATAATGATCAATCTTTAAATGAAGCAGTGACTGATTGGGTCCTATATGAGCACCATGTTACAGCATCTCTGCCTTGCTTTGTTCAACCGCTGCTTGCCATTAGGACTGCAAAAAGCCTTTTGCCATTTTTAGGGATTTTGTTCCTGATTCTGAACTCAATTTCCTTGCAGTTTCATGGAAGATTAATGAGCTCGTGCTTTGTGTGGCCTCTTGATATCCCCTCTGCAATAGAACTTAACAACCAATCACAAAGCATAAAAGGTGAATCAGACCCAGTTGTCAGGCGGAATTGATACACTCTTTGGCTGGACTTTCCATTTCCCACTGACAGAGATTAGACTAATTGTGAATCAAACCAAATGATTAACTTGAACACATTTTGAAAGGTTCAAAGGCATTTCAATTAACATGCAGGATACCACTGAATGGAAAGAGTTTAATGAGATCCAATTGTACTATTTGCCAAAGAAATACGATTAGCTGGTTTATATGTGTTTATGATGAATGTTTTATTCTTATTAAATGTGTCCTGTTCATTATTAATCAAACACAAATGGAATACTGATACAGCACTGCAGTTAATGAATGTGCTTATTAAACGAAGCCCATGCCCAGCATACAATTTAATTATCTTTTTTCACTCTCACTCTAATTATCTTTGATATTTTTCATCTTCACAAGGTCTGATGGCTATCTTATCTCAAAGGCACACAGCCAAGACTTTTATTATGCCTTCTGAGATCAAAAAAGAGACTTGTCTGAGAATAGTGTTTTTCTGTCAAATGAGACAGAAAGATCAAACGCAGTACTGAAGAATACTCTCATCATGATGTTCTGTTAGACTTCGTCCTCGCTCTGTGCTGTGGAATCACACACTCTGACTGAGGAGAGGTGGGCAAAAGCCTAATAATATCAGGCAGACCGCATTATGGGTACACATACATGTATGCCTGAATGAATGCGTGTGCACATATGCATAAACATGCATTTAAAAGTGCACACTGGCTTGCATTCTGAGGACAGCTTTTAATGCATTTCATGGTTATTTTCCATGTTGGCCAATGATCTCTTACTTTTAAAGGCACACTCCAGCACTGGCACCAATTAACTTGCAGAGGAACAAAATTCGGCTACGCTGAAGGGTAAATGAAATAAATTCAATCAAAAATGAAAATGTTTTACATTCTCTGCTAAAGGGGGGAAAAAATCCTCAAAATACTTAAGCAAGATTTAATTAAAAACATCTGTGAAAGGCCACACACTGCAGCCAGAACTGCGAAGCACATTACATTGTTTTCTTGGGTGACTGCTGTAAACGTTTACATAACGTAAACTTATGTGAAGTAAGCTGCAGAATGGCTTTAATGGCCTCATGATGATATCTTTGATTGGAACAGCAATTATGCAAAAAAAAGAGAAGACAGATGACTGGAAAGACAACTCTGCATCACAATGCCCATTCAGGAGATCAAAGAGAGGTAGACATGTTCAAAGTGATTTAGATACAGTTGTCACAGACAGCTGCCGGCATAATCACGCTGCCATATTCGTCAGTTGATGGGCTCTGATGAGCAGCCCGAGCTTAGCCAAATCATTATTAGATCCCCATTGTGATAAATGTTATTTATTGCTGTCAAGCTGCATTAATGTTTAATTCAGGGGTGGAAAATGAGCAGGGTAGAGCCGCACGGTTCGGCCCATTCATGGTCAGCTTGTGACAAAGGCAATGACTGAACACGGGCCAGACAAACTTCATCACTCAGGAAAATGAAAAGAAAGTGTGTGTGCGTGCATGCGGGTGCATGTAGAGGAAGAGTGTAGCGTGTGGGGTGGGGTGGGGTGTAATGGCACTAATTTGCATATGTTTTAAAAGGGTAATGAAGTAATATGATGTTTATCTTTTCTGAAGAGTTTAATTTCTGCTGGCAGAGACCCAGAGCGCACCGTGACACAATATAATGAACACCAACGTGAATGTTGGCCAGGGTATGTAATGGTAGCAGATGTGCAAGGGTAGAGAAAGAAAGAGAGCGGGAAGGAGGGGTGGAGGGTAGATTTTGTTGTGACGGGCTATGGATTGATGTGTGTGTGTGCATGTGTGTGTGGGGGTTGGGGTCATGCTCAATGATTTATTCATTAAGTTCACAAACCAGAAGCCTGTGTTTTTTTGATGACCCTCAGTAGTAAGCTAAAGAAACACTTAAATCCCCCCCTTCATCCCAACATCTTTATTCATCATAGCGCCATAATGTATGTGATCGTCATTGCAGATCCACGTGTCTTTAATCTGATGATGAATGCAATATAATCACTCTTCTTTACTTTTGTCCCAGCTCGAGTATTCTGAAAGTGGAGACTGAAGGAGAAATACTGCAGAGAAAGTGCCATGCCCAAGAGGTTCTGATTCCTGAAATAAGATGATGATGTAAAAGGGGTCAGCTGCTAATCTTTATTCCCCGAGTAAAGCACTCATTCATTATGTAACAGTTTGCATTTGTATTCAGGCCACAGACCCAGGGTGCAGAAACATTCAGAGAGCCACTCGTAAAAAAATATCAATTTATTTTTACTTCTACTGCTCCCTTCTTTTTCTCTTGCCCAGAGAGAGAACATCTTTATTACATGCTGCTTAACAAAGAAATGCATATATGAAAGAGAGCTTTGGATATGGATAAAATTAAAAAAAAGAAACACCTCTGTTCAGATGTACCATCAAATATTTGCTTTGATAATAAACCAGGTACAATTTCTAGCTCTAGTGTACAAATACTCTTCTTCAGTGTTTAAATTTAAATCAGCTTTGGGTGTTAAGAAAATGAAAGCCTTTCATAAAGATTTTTTTCCCAGTCTTTGAAGTGCTGTTACACTGACCTTAAAATTCTGCAGTGTACATCAAAACAGATGAGCTATCAATGCAAGGGGGGAAAAGCCAACTGAAACTCTGTAAACACAATCTCAATTATACTGTGTATGTATTTACTCCAAGTTTATCTTGCGAGCTTTAAAATGAACATTATTTATATATATTTTATCCAATAACAAGCCTTTATTGATTTCAACATAAACATATAATCAGGGCATATCATATTACACTCATAAAAGCTTTTTTTTTGGTAATACCTACCATGTGTATATTCCCCCCTGTCTGTTTTACTATTTTTTATACCAGGGTACTCAGGCTATGGCAGGTTATACAAATCCAACACCTATAAAAGCACCATCCCTACTGGATGCAATGAATTTCAACGTTTTTTCCAGTCTTTTTTCTAAATAGAGAGATATAATCCTAAAGCTGCAGTGGATTACATTTGTTGACCTTACAAGATCTGCATGCAAGCCTACAAAGCCAGATAATGAAAAGATATCTTGGGCAAGATGAATGTGCTTTTTTTCCACAAATGAAAATTTGATCCATCTTATCTCAATTCTTTGGAACCAAAGTCTATTTTTTTTGTCCGTCTGTTAAATTGACTTGCAGATCAAATTCCTTTTATCCAAGGTTATGACTTTTGTTTCATTTAATATTCTTGAAAAAGTAATTCCTGGTTTTTAGATCCAGACTGGACTGCAGTTATGCTCTGGAATGTTTAAGTCACTGATATCTTGACTGCAGTTTATTTAAATGGTTACCTGTTCATAACCAGGTTAATTATAAAATGGTACTTTCTATAAACAGGAGATTGAATTCCCCTGTGTCAGATTGTGATGGCATGCCACACATGGTAAGCTCCACACCTCATCACCCGTTGATTCACTTTAGTTTAATTTACAGTCACTACTTTAAAATATTCTATTTATTGTTCAATATCGTTTCTTTATTAAATGTATTCATTTTTCCATCACACCTTCCAATGTTTATATGGCGTGCACACATATTAACCTTGCAAGGTCAAAGTTCTGTTTTATGTTATATTAATACATCTTTCTTTGTTTGAGTTACCTGGGGGTTGGTGTCTCCTCCTGTCTGGCAAAAGGTGTGGCAAAGGGCTGGGAGACCTGAAGTACTGCTGACAGCCTAATTGGATTGCACCACATGCTTCATTGCCTGGGGGGTGTTTCATGTTTGTTTAAATGTTTTGTATTAGTTGGTTATATGGCAGCCATCTTGTTTTCCCCCATGTGTGTCATTTGGTTTAGCTAAACCAGTATTTAAGTCCCCCTGTGTGTCATTTCAGCAGGTCAGTTTACCATATGTTTGGTTGAGGTTTTGTTAATTATTATCTTGAGTTTAGTCTGTTGAGTTGACCTCTTTTATTGGTCTGCCTGTTTAAGTTTTGGCTTTGTTAAATATATTTTCATATTTTTGGGTCAATAAAACCTGTTTTTTGAATTAAAACCACCAGTGTCCTTTATGCTTTACTGCTTGGTCCCTGACAATTGGTGGCAGCAGTGGGATCATCCAGTATTGGGCACAGGTCTTTTTTCTTTTTCTTTTTTTCTTTCTTCTGTTTTTCCCCATGAGGAGGAAGAATGCATCGTGGTGGCAAGAATGAAAAGAAAAAGGGATCTGCTCAGCAAACCTGCGAAGAGGAGGAAAATGGAGCCTCAGGAGTCACTGAAGTTGTGGAGAGAGTTGAAAAGGAGCCTACTTTGTCTGATCTAGTCAATATGCTACATGCTCACATGGAACAACAGGACATCCGGGATGCAAAACAGAGTGAGTTAAATGCACGACAAGAACAGCGATTTAAAGCCTTTCAACATCAGTTTAGACTTTTGCAGTCAGAAATCCAAGTCAGAACGTCACCATCAGATTCTGCAGAAGCTCGCTCTGAATCATTAGAGTTTGATATTCATCCTTCTTCCTCTGTTCAGCAGGCCCAGGGTGAACCAGTTATGACTAATTCCAATCCAGCCATTTCACCAGCATTTCAGTTTCCCCTACAAATAGAGGGCAGATTGGAAAGATTAACTGAAGCTGATGATATTGAACATTTCCTGATCACATTTGAACGTATGGCTACAGCTTATCGATGGCAGAAGTCAGATTGGGTTTTTCATTTGATACCCTTGCTTACTGGTAAAGCTAGAGGTGCCTATGTTCACATGGACATTGATGATTCATTAGACTATGATAAAGTGAAATCAGCTATTCTGTCAAAATATGACATTAACCCTGAAACATATAGGCAAAGATTCAGATCCCTGGACGTTCAACCAGATGAAAGCCCTCGTGAGCTATATGCGAGACTGAAGGAGCTTTATGGGAAATGGATCCAGCCAAAGGGTAAAACTATTCATGACATTGGTGAAACTATAATCTTGGAGCAGTTTCTCAGAATGTTATCTCCTGAGCTTCAGGTTTGGATCAGAGAACACAACCCTGGTTCAGCAATGGAAGCGGCTCGGTTAGCTGATGTTTTTGTTGCTGCCAGAAAGAAGGGGCAAGCATGGAGCCATAATGCATGGAAGGTATCGAGGGACACCCGGAAGATACCTCAGCAAAACCATCTGGATTCAGCAAATACAAGCACCAGTAAGAGCTCTCAGTCTACCATTAGACCACCAAAGGCCTCTGGTAAGAAGCTCATTTGTTATCTTTGTGGATTAGAGGGCCATACAAAACCTATGTGCCCAAGAAATTCTGCTAAAATGGTGCAAATGTGTTTTGCTCCTCGTTCTAATGCTGATCCTGAGCAGGAGAGTGACAAATCCATCAAAATGAGCCAGATTGAAGTGAATGGGGTTCTACTCAATGCCCTTCTTGACTCTGGCAGTTCTCGGTCTCTTATTCACTCAGATTTTGCCCCACCTAATATTGTTCGCACCAGTGATACAATTTCAATCTGTTGTGTCCATGGAGATGAGAAAAGATATCCGACAGCTGACATCTACATTAAAGTTCAGGACCAGATGTATCTGCTGAATGTGGGTGTTGTGAACAGTTTGCCTTACTCTGCCGTGTTAGGGCGTGACCTTCCTGTGCTTTTTGATTTGTTGGAGTCTGAGCAGACTGAGGAGTGCAATGTAGCTGTTACCAGAGCTCAGGCTAAGCAAGTCAGTACCCACTCTGAGACCCTGAGTGCCCTGCCTTTTTTTTAATGAGGAGTTTGAGACAACTGTGGTGAAGCCACGGAAGACCCGCAGACAAAGAAGGCAGGAGAAATTCAAATTTTCACCTGTGGATACACTAACAGACGCTGAGCCAACACCGTCACCCCTAGGGTTTAATATTCCAACTGAAATTGCTGAACTCCAAAAATCTGATCAATCTTTAATATCTCTTTTCCGGAAGGCCAAAGAAAAGGAACCTGGAGTGGAGCAGGTTAACAGTGAGTACATCTTGCAAAATGACATTCTCTATCGTCAGCAGGGGTCGGTGCTGCAGCTGGTGGTTCCCCAGAAGGTTAGAAACGCCATTCTCACCTTAGGGCATTCTATTCCGTGGGCTGGCCACCTTGGTAAACACAAGACCACAGCTCGCATCAAACATCATTTCTACTGGCCTGGTCTTAGCAAAGATGTGGCTCAGTTTTGTAAAAGTTGCCCACAGTGTCAGATAACATCTGCTAAAATCCCCCATAGAGCTCCACTCCAACCTCTCCCTGTCATCGGCACTCCTTTTGAGCGTCTTGGAATGGATATTGTAGGGCCTGTTGAGAGGAGCAAAGCAGGAAATCGTTACATGCTTGTTGTAACAGATTATGCCACAAAATATCCTGAGGTGTTCCCTTTAAAATCTATAAAGGCCAAGCCCATTGCATTTTGTTTAGTGCAGTTCTTTGCAAGAGTTGGGTTTCCACGAGAAATACTAACTGATCAAGGCACTAACTTCATGTCTACTCTGTTAAAGCAAGTTTATCAGTTGTTGGGCATCCGGAGTCTGAGAACTTTACCATACCACCCTCAAACTGATGGGCTGACAGAACGGTTTAACCAGACATTGAAACAGATGCTCAGGAAGTTTGTCAACGACAGTGGTAACGATTAGGATCAATGGCTGCCATATCTACTCTTTGCTTATAGAGAAGTCCCCCAAGCCTCCACAGGTTTTTCACCTTTTGAGCTGTTGTATGGTTATGAGGTTCGTGGCCCTCTAACTCTGTTAAAGGAGATTTGGGAGGGAGACAAGGTGGAGGGGGGATCCAAGAACATTTTGTCTTATGTCATTCAGATGAGAGAACGGTTGGAGAAAATGGGTGAACTTGCTCAATCACATATGGTGGAGGCCCAGCAGCAGCAGAAGTCTTGGTATGATAAATCTGCTCGTCAGCGTGCGTTTGAGCCAGGACAAAAGGTGCTCGTGCTCCTCCCCAGTGACAACAACAAATTGTTGGCAAAGTGGCAGGGGCCATTTGAAGTCATGAGGAAGCTGGGACCCACCACATATGAGGTGTCCACCCCAGGGCAGTTGCGCTCCAGCAAGGTCTTGCATATAAACCTTCTGAAGGAGTGGGTGGAGCGTATTGAACACAAGGCGGATGCAATGCTCATACGGCGAGTGCCTGAAGAAGATGAAGCAGATGAGCAATATCTACCACCTGCTGGCTCTCTAGATTATGATCTCAGCCATCTCCCAGAGGACAAGCAGCAGCAGCAGGTGAGAGAAATGTGTAAATCAGCAGTCTTTCAAGAGAATCCAGGGAGAACTGACATTGTCGAACATGATATTGTGGTACGAGAAGGTGCCTCTGTGAGACGATTAAGTTACAGGATCCCAGAACGTCTGCTGCCTTCATTGAAGAAGGAAATCGATTTGATGCTATCTCTAGGGATCATTGAAAGATCTAAGAGTGAATGGTGCAACCCTGTGGTCTTGGTACCCAAAAAGGATGAGAGTATGAGGTTCTGCATTGATTTCAGGTACCTGAACTCCATATCCATGTTTGACTCCTACCCGACACCAAGAATTGATGATCTACTTGAACGTCTGGGAAAAGCAAGGTACCTGACCACAATAGATCTGTGTAAGGGTTACTGGCAGGTCCCACTCACTCAACGGTCCAGAGAGTTCACAGCATTCAGAACACCATGGGGGCTTTTCCAATTTACAGTCTTGCCATTTGGACTACATGGAGCTCCAGCAACTTTCCAACGGCTGATGGATCAGGTATTACATGACTGCTCTGACTTTGCTGCTGCTTACTTGGATGATATTGTTATCCACAGCAACACCTGGGAGGAGCATGTGGAACACCTGCGAACTGTTCTGGACCACCTGCACAGAGCTGGGTTGACGGTGAATCCGTCAAAGTGTGTTTTCGCCGCTGCTGAGACAGAATACCTGGGCCATGTCATCGGCAAGGGGGTTATCAGGCCACAAGTCAGCAAAATCGAGGCCATGGAATCATCCCCCCTGCCCCAAACAAGGAAGCAGCTGAGATCCTTTTTGGGCATGGCAGGTTTCTACCGTCGTTTCATCCCTCAGTTCTCCAACAGGGCAGCTCTGCTCACAGACCTGACGGGATCACGTTCCCCCAATTACATCCAGTGGACAGAGGAGGCAGTGGCAGCGTTTCATGACATACAACAGTCACTAAGTAAGCAACCGGTTTTGTACAGTCCCAACTTTGATGAACCATTCATATTACAGACTGATGCTTCAGATCGGGGCCTGGGAGCTGTCCTCCTTCAGGAAACCATGGAAGGCCGCCATCCAGTGGCTTACATCAGCCGGAAACTGTTTCCACGGGAAGTTCGGTATTCCACAGTAGAGAAGGAGACCTTAGCGATCAAGTGGGCCCTGGACTCCTTCCGCTACTATCTACTGGGAAGAGACTTCACCTTGGAAACTGATCACAAAGCACTACAGTGGCTTGAGCAGATGAAGGACACAAATGGGCGAATTACCCGCTGGTACCTGGCCTTACAGCCATTCCGATTCACTGTCCACCACGTACCAGGCAAGGAGAACCTTACTGCTGACTATCTCTCTCGCTGTTCCAGCGAGAGCTCTGAAGAGGGGAGGTGTGTGATGGCATGCCACACATGGTAAGCTCCACACCTCATCACCCGTTGATTCACTTTAGTTTAATTTACAGTCACTACTTTAAAATATTCTATTTATTGTTCAATATCGTTTCTTTATTAAATGTATTCATTTTTCCATCACACCTTCCAATGTTTATATGGCGTGCACACATATTAACCTTGCAAGGTCAAAGTTCTGTTTTATGTTATATTAATACATCTTTCTTTGTTTGAGTTACCTGGGGGTTGGTGTCTCCTCCTGTCTGGCAAAAGGTGTGGCAAAGGGCTGGGAGACCTGAAGTACTGCTGACAGCCTAATTGGATTGCACCACATGCTTCATTGCCTGGGGAGTGTTTCATGTTTGTTTAAATGTTTTGTATTAGTTGGTTATATGGCAGCCATCTTGTTTTCCCCCGTGTGTCATTTGGTTTAGCTAAACCAGTATTTAAGTCCCCCTGTGTGTCATTTCAGCAGGTCAGTTTACCATATGTTTGTTTGAGGTTTTGTTAATTATTATCTTGAGTTTAGTCTGTTGAGTTGACCTCTTTTATTGGTCTGCCTGTTTAAGTTTTGGCTTTGTTAAATATATTTTCATATTTTTGGGTCAATAAAACCCGTTTTTTGAATTAAAACCACCGGTGTCCTTTATGCTTTACTGCTTGGTCCCTGACACAGATTAAAGGTCACTTGACCAGCAGATTTGATTGGATTTAGAATCAAGACTTTGTGAGCTCCCAGCTCAGAAGTTCTGGATTAAACTACCTTACTATAATATTCACAGCTTACTTTACTGGGTTACTACTAAATGAGATTCATGCCTATTTGTTTTATATTCTTCTGTTCATTAACCCATTTTGATATCATTGTTAATTGTTAATAGTTGTTTTAATGACTCTATTACTTAATTTTAACTTGCATCTGGTAATGTGCAGCACTTTAGTTAGCATCTGTTGAACAACGGTTCTGTACAAATAAAGTGACTCGACTAAACCTAATGCACATTTTTGTTAAAAGAAAATAAAATTGACATCGGGTCCCAAAATTAACAGTGGTGACAATCTCTCAAGAGGGGGTGGTTGAACAATTACCACAATTACTGATCAGTCCTTTAATTGACTGGGTTGGATAGAATATCACAGATAGCTGGGCTCGGTGTCTCCACAAAGAGACAGCGTGAATGATAATCACTTAGCCCAAATTGGAATGGCACTGTGCCAAACTGGATGTGCAGTTAACCATCTCTTTACAGGAGGATAGCATCGGAGCTGGAGGAAGCTGAAGGGGTTCATAGACAGCTTCCTTTCTATTTTCAGCCCTCCTTGATAAAGGTGCCTGACATCATCTAAACACTGAAGCCTATTTGTAACCAGGTTACCAGCTATCTTTCATCTGTAATTGAGAGCATGCAGCTCGAGTCAGAAGTGTATCAACAATATAAAATGTTGTTAGCCTTCCATCAAGCAGACTCTGAAGGGAATTAATAGCTATCATCTGAGAGGAAAAGAGAGTCTGAGATAGACTGGAATGGGGGTTGTAATGACAGTAAAAGATGTTCTCTGGGAATTGTTGTTATTATGGCGCAAGTGAAAGAAACAGAGAAAATACATGTAGGCACATATGCGTGCATGTATTATCTTACCTTGTGTTTGAGCAGCATAATAACAAAAATAAAGAATAATCTTTTCCTACAGCCAAACACTTGAATCATCATAGTTTCTTAATAACCACAATGTGACTAGAATAGACTGGTGATGGAAAACCTTGATAGCCACTCTACTTCAAGGTAAAATAAAACCAAATTAGACCAATCAACCACGCAGATTGATTTTTAGGAAAGTGAAATACAGATGTGGCTTTGCCTGTATGAAACAACAAATGTAATAAACAGCAAAAACGTTATTAAATCAATCCAAAATCTAAACATATACGGTAATAAAATAGCAACAACATTAAATTATGGTGGCTCTGGATTCAAATTAGTTAAACAAAAAACAAACAAAAGCTAGGCCTATTCTAGACACTGACATAAATACTCCTCTAAATAAAGTACATCTACACTGCACACTCTAGTTGAGAGCCCAACACAACAAACCAGGCCAGCTTCCTTCACGACACTGTCTGAATAAAATTTATTTGGTAAACATCCAGAGACAGCATGGACCAAAAAAAGTTGGTTTGGCTTACAAATTAGCGTAGAGGGGCACTCTTTGAACTATTACACAGCAGGTTAGCAAAAAAATGAAAACATAGCTAAAGCTGAAAGTGTAAGGCTACTGATATTAGTAAAAGAAGAGAGTGATATCTAAAGAAAGCTATGAAAAGAAAGTTTGGCATCTGAAGTAACCCTGAAAAAATAATCCTTAAAGTAGAAGAAAAAGCTGGGTATACATACATACCTTGAGGATAAAAGCTTGTGTCACTAACATATTTAGTCTGCAGTAGAGTGCTAATTGTTTACTGTATGGGGTCTGCATTTAGGTCTTAGCTGGATGTCCTCATAAACATAGCAAACACTGAGCAATAGATATTCACAAATGGGCTGATCTGTCGCCCTAAGACAACTCCAATTCCTGCCACAGCACAAGTGCATTTACGACTGTGCCAGACATAACCCCGCTGCCACTTTTGGCCCTCCTTTTCTTTTTTCTCCTTGCCATCTTCAAGTTCCCAGCGCAGTTTGACACAACATCTCCAAGCTGACCTTGGAGAGTGATTTCTTGACATGTACTTGGCAAGGGAGAGGAGACTCCCAAGTAGATACATGATAGACACGCATCCCCCACCTTGTCAAACCATTTGCTCCCTGCCTCCCATCTTCACTGTGATCCAGTGATGGCTTGTAAGAATGTGGCAAAGGAGTGTTTGAAGAGAGCTTCTGACCCCTAAGTCTTTTCCCAGAGTGTTTGA